TGATTCTGTGCTGGGTTGGGGGTCACAGACTGAGCCCCCTGCACTGTGGGCTGGGCAGGATGAGGAGATCTGGGATGGGAGAGGGCACAGGGAGAGGAGATGTGACTGTTCTCTCCCCACAGGGTGTTGGCATCTCCGCTGGTCAGAGCTACGAGGCAGTGTCCGAGCTAGACCTGGAGCGAGAAGTCCACAGGTGGGATCACCCCCCCTGGGCTACAGGGGCTGGGCTGAGCTCAGGGTCAGGGGTTTGCATGCCAGGGGACACCTCTGGGGACAGCCTGAGAGGGAATGGGGGGTTTTCCCCTACCATAGAGCTGGTCAGAAGTGTCTGGGATCAGGTCAGCAGCCTCCAGGAGAGCCGGTGGGTTTGGAAAGGAGAAGGAGCTGTGCTGGTGGGAGGCCCCTGGGGGGACAGGGCTTGGCAACAAACATTGTGGGTGCACAGTTGAGGCAGCACCAGTGGCAATGGACACCTGCACACCCAGAGGAGCCTGGATTTGGCCTCTGGGAGTGGGAAAACACCACAGGCGACAGGGATTACTCATGAATGAGGTAGTTCTGAGCCCCAGATGGAGAGATGTGCAATATCCAAAGGGTCCAGCATCATCAGATCAGCATTTGCTGCTCAGTCACACTGTGTTAGACACTGAAATTGTGAGGGGCACCTTTAAAATGCTTTTGAAATGTACTTTCCATACCTCCTGATAGCATCTCAGAAAGAGGAAGGAAAGCTGCTCTTCCCATTTCGGATGGGGAGGGTTCCTTTTCCTGTGTTGCTCAGAGGAGGAGGTGAGCTGCAGCTCTGTGTCCTTCAGCTCTGGCCATGGCCTTGCTGGCCAGTGCATGCCCACGGCCCTTTCTGGCCCAGTGTTGGTCCAGCCCATCTCCTGCTGTGGGTGTTTGTCACTGATCCAGTGGCACGGAGCTGACCCAGCCACGGGTGGGGAACTGCAAATACCTGGGAACAGGAGTTTTGCAAACAGAAATCCTGAAAGCTCCCGTGGAGCCTCTGAACCAACAGTTCAGAGCAGAGCTGGGCACTGCCCTGTGGGTCACAGTCTCCATCCAGTGGCTTCCAAGGAGTTGGGATCCAGAATATCCCGAGATCATTAGTCAGGCACTTGCAGCTGTGGACCCATCAGGGAGTTTGCAGCCTGGTCTTGCTGAGAAGAGGCAGGATGTGACTGTCAGCAGTGTCAGGGGCAGTGGCTCACAGGTTTTTTTCCTCCCAGACTGAGCACAAGGGTGGTTGGGGTGTGAGGAGTGGAAGTAGTGACAGAAAAGCCTTTGAAGACCTTTTGCATTGTGCTCCATTCCACATCCAGCTGCTCCAACGCTTTCCTCCCTCAACCAGCCCCACTGGTCTGACCACAATCCCTTGGAGCAGAGCTATGGGCTCCTGCTCAGCTGCTGAGGGGCTGCTGGCCAGCCCTGGTCCTTTTGTGGGACCTCCTGATCCTCCTCCTCAGCACTCGTGTTTCTCCAGTTCAGCCAGTCCTCATCCTGCTGACTGGCAGCTGGGCACTGGGAATAACAGGAGGGTCTCCTGCAGCCCACAGATCTGCTTGTTGAGGGAAATATTTCCCACTCCCAAACTTCAGAGAGTCCCTTCTTCCCCTTTCTTCTACCTGTGGTAGCTCTTCTCACCCTGTTGTGGGGGAGCTTTGCCTGGAGCCCTCTTGTTCTCTAGGCAGTGCCAGTGTTAGGGGTGGGCTCAGCCACCTCACCAGCAACAAAATATCCTCAGCAAAGAGGAAAAGGAATGCAGAATTCCCTGGGAAACTGAGAGCCAAGTCTCTGAGGGTCCAGCAGAGCCTGGAATTTAGGATGGGATTTACCTGCTCTCACACTGACCACCTACATCCAAGCTGGTGATACTCAGCCCCCTGAAATGCTGATGCCAAAAGCATCCCCTGCCCTGCTCCAGATATCAGTCTCACAGGAGAGAGGTGGTGGCACAGCAGTGTCTGTGTCACCCTGTGGAGCTCGAGGGACTGGGTCAGACTCACCAGGCAGTGAGGATGGTGGACTCTGCCCTGGTTTGCTCCGAGACCCTGGACTGCTTCTCCCCACACCTCGAGGCATCTTCCCTTCAGGAAGAGAAACACTGGGAATGCTGTGTCCTTGACAGCCTATTCCTTACCTACCTCCCTCCCTCCCTCCCAGGTGCCCACTCACAGGTTCATTGACTGTGACCTCCAGCTGCAGTAACCAGATCCAGGATCAGCTCCTTGGTCCCCTCACCACCAGCAGGTCCCTTCCCTCCATCACCCAACCTCCGTCCTCCACCAGATCACCCACATGAGCATGGAGAGGTTGAGGTTGCCCCAACTCAGTGCAGCTCAGGGATCACCCTCCAGGCTCAGCTGGCCTGGAAATACCTTCTCCTGGCCCTGGGGACTCATTTGTCCCCCGGGTTACTTGTCTTCACTGCCTGACACCAGCTGGAAGGACATGACCTGGCCTTTGCAGACTTGTTGTTTGGAGGCTTCATCCACCAACCCTGTCCTCGAGGCCAGAGCTGGGTCTTGGTGTGTTCCTGGGATGCTGAGAGACCCCACTCCAGCCAGACCATGGGCTTTGCTTGTCCCTGGCAGATGCTCCCTGTCCTCCAGCTCTTTATAGCTTCATTGGCTGTAAGTCATGGCTCAGGAAGGGGCTGTTATGGATTTTATCTGCTTTTTCTCTTGCTCTGACCCATTCCCTGGGTCTGTCTCCCCCTCAGCCCTGGCACTCAAGGCTGATGTCTGCCTCTGACTCACTGAGTCCTCCAGCTGCCCTGTTGCCTGGCCAGTCCCTCCTGAAGAAGCTGCAGACCAGGCTGGGACTGCAGCCAGATGACTCACCCTGCCAAGGCTCTGTTATGCTAATTAAACAGTAATTTTCCTTGTGCTTTGAGCCTTCCAGCCACCCCTGGCCATTTCTTGCCCTTCCTTTGGCTCCAGACACTGGAGCCAAACAGGCTGTTTTCCCTCTCTATCACCTCCTCATCCCATACACCACCCCACTTCTCCGAGAACCCACCTGCAGCCTGGGTGGGTCCAGCCCAGCATCCTCCCAGACAGACTCGCTCCTGTCCCATGTGGATCAGGGACATCTGGTGTCTCATGGCCTCACAAGGTGCCTGTCCAGGGCCAAAGCACAGATCCATGCACAGCCTTGGCTCCTAGGACGAGTCAGTGCCCAAAACCAGGTGTTGGGAGAATTTGAGGTCTTTCTGCTCCAAAAGCATTTCTAGTCATGCATTCACACCGGAGGCAGTTTCTCATATTCAGGGGTTTTCTCCTTCACAGATTTCTCCTTCTGCCAGGAGGAATCCCACAGGTCAGGTGCTCCTTTCCCAAGTGCTCCTGAGCCTTGCTCCTGCTGGCTCTATATGATGCCCCCCAGCTCCTGTGTGCTCTCCTCGTGAACCTGCCCCCATCACTCCCCCTGTGCCCCTGGAGATGCCCAGCCTGCTCAGGTGCTCCTCAGGCAGAAGCTGGGACCGGGCTTGGACCCTCCTTGTTGCCTTTCTTGGAGCCTTTCTTTCATGCTGGCACTGGATTCCACAGAGGAATCCTGGGTGCTCTCCTGTGGGTGCTGGCGTGTTCTGCCTTCCATGGCTCTCTTCCTGCCCATCACCATTTCACCTGGGCAGCTCCCCTGTGAGCTCCCGGGACTGTCAGACATTTTCCAGCACATTTCCTTTTCAGGGAAAGAAAAATGGCTGGAAAGAAAAATGAAAGGGCTGATGGGAAGGGGCAGCCTGAGCCCTGGTTTATTTTTATAATTTCCTTTTATTGTTGTGGTTGGAGAGGGCTCAGCAGGCCTGGCTGGGGGCTTTAGCATGGCTTCCCAAGGAGATAGAGATCTTGGATTCCCAGGGTGCAGGAGCTCCACTGGCCCATCTGTCCATCTCAATCCTTTTACAGGGCATTTTGGCTGGGCACAAGAGCAGGCACAAGGTGTCATGGCAGAAAGATCTTCACGGTTCCAGGAAGTTTGGAGGGGCAGAGGGAGAGGGGCTGAGAGCCCTGGTGAGGAGGGAGCTGGGATGGGTGTAGAGCAGGGAACAGGACATGGGGCTGGGGAGCTGCCTGGCTTTGGTTTGCTGCCTGTGAAGAGGGGAAGGAGGTAATGCCAGGGATTTGGAGTGTGTGGTGGCCCCAACCTTGCCATGATGTAGGACTGGCTGAGCCTCAGGCTGCTGATGGCCTCATGAGCACTGAGCCCTCGTCCCACCCTGCTCTTGGAGACGCAAACACCCACATCCCTGGGTGCCCCGAGCGCTCAGGACGGGGACAGGGGCAGTGTGAGGTGTCCCCAGATGGGATGGGATTAGCCAGGAGCCTGCATGGTGAGCAGCCTGGCTCCCTCACAGCCCCACGTGCCACAGGACAAGCAGCGAGTGCAGCAGCGAGGGACGGAGCGAGGACGAGGAGACCCGGAGCCGGCTCATCGACCGCATCGTCCAGAACGACACCGAGGGCTATTCCACCGTGGAGGCACCGCGGGCCGAGGGGGCCCCCTTCAGCCTCCCAGCCCACCTCTACCCAGACGAGGTCCTGGACGACCTCACCATCTCCCCCTACGCCAGCTTCACGTCGCTCTCCGAGCCCCGGCCCACCATGCTCAGTGGCTGGCTGGACAAGCTCTCCCCACAGGGGTATGTGGGACAGCCATGGGATCTCGGAATGGGTTGGGTTGGGTTGGGAGGGATCTCAAAGCTGTCCTGTGGGTGCTGGGGTGTCCCAGCTGCCATGACTTTCTCAAAGCTCATCTTGTTCCCACCCCCTGCCATGGGCACGGACACCTTCCACTAGAGCAGGTTGCTCCAAGCTGTGTCCAACCTGCCCTGGAATGCTTCCAGGGGTGGGATGGGGCAGCTTCCATAGGTAAAGTCCCCTTGGGTGAGGTGGCCACACTGGTCACTGTGCTGCTGGGGCAGCCAGACCTCCCTGTGGGAGGAGAACCCTCTTGGGTACCCCAGCTGTGCTGCAAAGGTGTCTGTGCAGCCATCCTTGGGGGAAGGGGGGATCTGTGAGCAGATGTGGGGTCCTCGGGGGGATCATCCCCTTCCCAACAGTTTTTCTGCCGTCCCAACAGGAACTATGTCTTCCAGAGGCGCTACGTCCGTTTCGACGGGAAGAACCTGATGTACTTCAGCAGTGAGAAGGTACAAAGGGACAGAATGGGGCAGGGTGGGGAGGTTGCACTGTGCCTTGACACCACAGAGGCTGCTATACCCCCTTGACCTCTCCTTGTCCTTCTGTGAGGAGCCAGCAATGCTTTGCCATCCCCAGGGTGGAGCAGCCATGGCCCTGATGCCTGGTGGGCTCCTAAAACAGCCCCAGCCATGGGAAGCTCGGGATAGCAAGGGGCCCTCTGCCAACAGGGAGCAGGAAAAGGGGGGTCCTGCTGGCTCACAAACCCTGGGGCAGAGTGAAAATAGGATGCCAGCCATGGATCCATCCTTTCCCGCCTGGCTGCTGGTGCTGTGCTATGAGGCAGCACCCAGGGGATGTGGAGGATGTGCCAGGTTATGGGGGTGCCCTGTGGGGAGGGCAAAGGGGGTTAACCCTGCCTGGGGGCCCGTTCCAGGAGCCCTACCCCAAGGGGGTGATCCCGCTGTCCGTGATCGAGATGGCTCGTTCCAACAAGGACAACAAGTTCCAGGTTGTCACCAGCCATCGGATCTTCGTCTTCCGTGCCGAGAACGAGGGTAAGTGAAAACCCAGGCCCCCAGTCCCCAAAGAACCATCCCTGCCTCCCTCCTCCATCCGGAGCATCCCAAGGGCAGCTCTCACCTCATCCCTGCCATGCCTGCCGGGTGCTCTGCTCCATGCCAGGGCTGTTGGGAAGGGCTCAGCCCTGCTCCCTCATGCCTGGTCCCCAGCCCAGAGGAATGAGTGGTGCTCCACGCTGCAGAAGAAGGTGATGGACCAGCGCCTGGTGGGGTCCCGACCCCGGCCCGCCAACACCGCTCACTGCCAGAAGTCGGGGACCCTGGAGCTGAAGGGCCAGAAGTCCAAGGTGTTCGCAGCCCTGAGCCTGCCTGAGATGTGGCTGTACAAGAGTGAGCAGGTTCGTGGCCAGAGCAGCCCCCCAGCTGGCACAGAGGGCTGTGCCAATGGCAGATGGGATGACAGGGATGGAGGGAGCTTAGCCAGGGTTGGTGCCAAAGAGGGAGCAGAGAGGAAAAGGATGGGCAGAAGAAAGGGAATGGCAGGGCAGGAAGATGGAGATCCTGCACAGGGCAGCAGTCTTGGATACCAGGAGTGGACCACCCTCCTCATCTCCTCGCTGTCACCAAATTATCGTCATCTCTGCCAGGTGCTTTGGTCTCAGTCACACCAAGGCAGCCCAATCCATCACAGGGTGGATGGGTCACTGAGCACGGAATCAGCAGCAAACACATCTGCTGCAAGGGGCATCTGCCCCATGGGAAGCAGCAGGGCACTGTCACCTCACACCCTGCTGCTGCCCACAGAACCCCCACTTCCTTCCTGCTCAATTTTCTCACCTTTCTGGGGTTTTTTTCCATCACCTCATTTCCAGGTTGCCCAGCAATCAGCATCATCTGGGGGTTTGGCTCAGGATGATGTTTGTCTTATGAGTGTCCCTGACTCAAATCCCGAAAACAGAGGGACCTGGATAGCCGGGTTTCAGGGGCTGTGGGCAGAACTTGCATTTCATTCGAAGGCATAACGTATTTGCAGAGTGCTTTATGTCAGGCCACGTGAGGTGGCTGAGAGACGTGGCAAGGTCTCATCCAGGCAAAGCAGGGATGGGATGATGGGGGTGCCGGAGGCCCCAACATCACGGGCGTGTCCAGAGTGCTGTGTCCACCACGGCTGTGGCACTGCAGGACCAACAGCACTGTCACTCTGAATTGCAGTTCTTCAAAATGGGCATTGGCATGTTCTTCATTGAGATGCGTGGCTCCACCATCCGCGAAGCCAAGAACCGCAGCTTCGAGCTCATCACCCCCTCCAAAACGTTCAGGTATCCCCGGCACCCAGGTGGGCTGAGGTGGGAGGAGCAGCCAGGTGCCAGACCTGGGTGCTGGTTGCTGCAGTGCCCTGAGTTTTGGCTGTGCTGGCGCCCACAGTTTCGTGGCGGAGTCGGAGCGGGAGAAGCGGGAGTGGATGGAGGCACTGCAGGAGGCCATGGCTGAGATGCTCTATGACTACGAGGTGGCAGAGAAGATCTGGTCCAACAAAGCCAACAAATACTGTGCAGACTGCTGGGCTCAGAGTCCCGACTGGGCATCCATCAACCTCTGCGTGGTCATCTGCAAGCAGTGTGCAGGTGGGGACATCTCCCCCGGGGGCACATGGGGGCCTGCTTGGGCAGGCAGGTGCTGGCTGGAGCATGGGCACAGCTTGGGTCCCAGTTCCCTGGCAGGGTCAAGGGGTGCTCACTCTCCTGCTCCCCGCAGGGCAGCACCGCAGCCTGGGCTCCAACATTTCCAAGGTGCAAAGCCTGAAGCTGGACACCAGCGTCTGGTCCAACGAGATCGTACAGGTAGAGGCACTCGGGGCAGGGCACCGGGGCTGGCACGGTGTGCTCAGGGGCCGGGCTGCTCCTCTGGCAGGGCAGCAGCCCCATGGTCTCTGTTGGGGTGCAGGAACACTGGGAATCCTGCTCCTCCCGCTGGCCCTGGTGCTCACCATGACCACGGGGCTCTCCTGCAGCTCTTCATCGTGCTGGGAAACGACCGAGCCAACCGGTTCTGGGCCGCTCGGCTCCCGGCGAGCGAGGCCATCCACCCGGACAGCAGCGCCGAGCAGAGGCGGGAATTCATCTCCCGCAAGTACCGGGAGGGCCGGTACCGCCTGCCCCATCCCCACTGCCCCACCCAGGAGGACGTGCTCCAGGTAGGGGCCACCCCGGGGTACCGGGGTGCTGGGAACCATCCCAGAGCTCCTGGTTTGAGATGCCAACACCTCCTGCCTGGCTGTGCGTGCGCACACCCTCGTGCCAGGCGTATCTTGGGAGGTTGTGCCCCGGTTTGCCTGCCTTCAAACGTCCCTAGGAGTGGTCTGGGGTCTCCATGAGCCGGGACGTGGTCCCTAAAGGCACTGTCTCACCCCAGGCACTGTGCACTGCGGTGGCAGGACCAACCCTCCTCAAGACCGTCCTGCAGTTCTTCTCGTCCTCAGAGGCTGGTCTGGCATCTGACCCTGCTGCCAGCGAGGTGGCCCCAGGGGCTGACCTTTGGTGGGGATTGGAGAGCAAAAGGCCCAGGAACCTTTCAGGTAATGAGGACCCTCGAGCCCCATCTGTGATGGGGACACTTCCTCCTTGCCATTGCCCCTGTCCCCCTCGGCACGCCCCAAGGCTGGGGACATCATCAGGTGCTGAGGCTCCCTGGGGACCCCGCCTGGGACTCTCTTTTAGGATGGGGCAAAGCAGCAGTTCCTCTGGAGCCCCTTTTCAGGGAACCCCATGCCTGGCACACCCCCTTGCCTACACCTCCATGAGTGGGGTCTCCCGACCCCTCTGTTACTCACAATTTGGTGGGTGCCTGCTCCCACCCCACTCTCAGTGCCGTGCCCCACAGGGAGCCCCCGCGCACGGGAACCGGGTCCGGAGGGCGTCTACAACGAGATCACACAGCCAGTGACACACAGCGGGTACCTGCACCGGGCCACGGCCCCCCCAAAGCTCCCAGGTGCCAAGAAGAGCAAAGAGGGTGAGTGTGGGGAGTGCAGGAGGGCATCCAGGGGGTGCCCATCCCGGTGCCACTGACCCCATGTTCCCACAGACTTCCAGCGCACGTGGTGCTCCCTGGAGAGATCCCTGCTCTTCTTCGAGACAGAGAAATGCACTGAGCCCCTGGGCCACATTGAGAGTGGGGACCTCCTCTCCCTGGGTGTCAGCAGAGCTCAAGCACTCACCAGCCCCTGCCCCACCGAAAGGTACCCCCAGCCGTGCCCCCACCACGCGCCCAGAGAGCCTGGGGGCACACAGAGGGCTTTGCTCCTGCTGGGTGCGATGGTCTGCCCTGGCTCTGGGTGCAGGGTCGGGGTAGGGGCTGCCCTGATGGGCTGGTTCATCCTCTGCAGGTTTCGCTTCACTCTCGAGCTGTTCCTCGCTGGGGAAAAAGTGCAGCAGCTGGGAACTGATGGGCCTGAGACACTGCAGGCCTGGGCCAGTGCCATCGGCAAGGTGAGCCAGCCCCAGCCCCGGCACCCTGCTGTGTCCCCAGGATCTGTCCTCACTGATTCCTCCCAACCTCTTGATCTGCTGTGGGAAGCACCCTCCTCCCTTTCCAGGGGGTCTCATCCTCCCTGATGACCTCATGGGAGTCATCACTCGGGGTTGAGCCCTGAACTCACCCAGCTCGTCTCTCGCTCCGTCCCACAGTGGTTCACACCCGTGAGCTGTCACTGCCTGCTGGGCTACGAGTTCCAGCGCGTGGGCCAGCTGCGCTACAAGTGCATGCTCAACCCTGAGAGGTGGCAGCAGGCCTTCTTCATCCTCCAGAAAGCTCACCTCTTCATCTGCCCCGCCGAGGAGGACGGGGCTGAGGACAGCATCAACCTGCGGCGGCTGCAGGAGCTCAGTGAGTGCTGTCACAGCCCGGCACAGGCACCGTGTGGTGGTGGCCGTGCACGGCTCTGACCCCTCCACCTCTCACCCCAACGCAGGTCTGGTTCCCCCCACGGAGACTCCAGACAAGAAGGAGATGCTGATCCTGGTGGAGATGGGGAGGTGAGTCCTGGCCGTGGGAATGATGGGGAATGAGCCAGGCAAGCCCAGCAGGCTGCCCAGGGCAGAGCCACTTATGCGTGGGTTGATGCTGATCCAAACCCCATGGTGGGGATGCTACTGGGACAGCAGAGCTGTGACCAAGGGGTTTGCAGAGGTCACTCCAGCCTGGATCTCTTGATGGGGTAGCATATCCCTCAGCTCAGCCTGGCTGTACCTTGCTCCCTGTCCCAGGCAGGAGGGGATAACCTGCCCCTCCGGCAACGTTCATTCCCTCTTTTCTGCCTTGTTGTTCTCAGGACATTTTACCTGCAGGGCTTGTCACGGGTGGACTCGGCAGCGTGGTACACGGACATCCAGGCCTCGGCAGGGGGCCGGGGCAACGCGCTGCGGGACCAGCAGCTGAGCCGGGGGGACATCCCCATCATCGTGGACAGCTGCATCGCCTTCATCACCCAGTACGGTGAGCACGGCACGGCTGGAACGGCCCCCAGCGCACCGCGGGGGCCACCAGCCCCACTGGGGATTATCTGAGCGGGACCGAGCCCCTGTGACCCCATGTCCCTGTCCCAGGGCTGCGGCACGAGGGGATTTACCGCAAGAACGGAGCCAAGTCGCGGATCAAGGTGCTGATGGAGGAGTTCCGGCGGGACGCCCGCAACGTCAAGCTGCGCATCAACGACAACTTCATCGAGGACGTCACTGATGTCCTGAAGAGGTTCTTCCGCGAGCTGGAAGATCCCATCTTCACCCTGGAGCTGCACCCGCAGTGGAAGGAGGCTGCAGGTACCTCCTTCACCCGACGCTGCTCCCATGCTGGGCCACCTGCCAGGGTTCCCTGGGGCTGGTATCCCACAGGATCCTGGTGCCAACCCTGGTCGTCTCTGTATCGTCTCTGGATCTGCTGGTCTCAGCAATGATCCATGACATGGGTTCCTCCCTCCAGAAATCCCCTCGAAGCCCCAGCGCCTGGAGCGGTACAAGGAGCTCATCCATCGCCTGCCCCGCCTCAACCACAAGACCCTGGCTGCACTCATCGGGCACCTCTACCGGTCAGTGGGCCACCTCCCTGCAGGGTCCCCTGGTCCAGCCAGGGTCCCCAAGAGCAGTCAGCATTGTGGGGTCTCCCTGCTCCCCAGGGAATGCTGCCTTCCAACCCTGAGAGACAGGAGGAGCCCCATGCCCGTGCCCTGCCACACCAGCCCTCTGGATGGTGCTGGAACATGCTACTCTGGGACACCTAGAATGTTCCCAAAGTCATCCTGCAGCAAGGGGGAGTGACAGGAGGTTTGGGACTAGGGGACACCCCCCTGTGGGATGTGGACTTCACTAAATGCCCCAAACAGAACACTACATTTCCATTCCTGACTCAGCAGCTGAGGTGGGGCTCTTGTCTGGTTTGATGGCAGCGGGAAGTTCTCATAACAGGAACTGCCTGGCTTGAAGTTCCCATTGCCGGTGGGCTGGGTAAATTCGAGCTGTTTTTCAGAATTTGTATGAGGCAGGGGAGGGTGGATGGGGCTGAAACCCCATCCAGAGTGGGACCAGCCCCTCACCTCTCTGCTCCTTGTCCCAGGGTGCAGAAATGTGCAGACCTCAACCAGATGAGCACCAAGAACCTGTCGCTGCTTTTCGCTCCCAGCCTCTTCCAGACGGACGGCAAAGGGGAGCACGAGGTCAAGGTGATGGAAGATCTCATCGACAACTACGTCAGCATCTTCAATGTGAGCAGGGCCCTGCCAGCCCCCTCCAGCTCCCCTTGCATCCCCCCATACTGCCCATCTCTGCCTCCTCTGCATCCTTCCATCCCAGCCTTGAGTCCTCCGTATCCCGCTCCACATTGACCCTGCTCATCCTTCCTCCGGCAGATTGATGAGGACCAGGTATCCCAGATGGATCTGGAGAACAGCCTGATCACCACCTGGAAGGACACTCAGGTACTATGGATGTGCTTGCTGGCCCCCACTAAACCAGGGACCCCCGGGCCGGTGGGACTGACTGGAGGGTGGGGACACTCCCAACTACCCACCCTGGGTCCCCACTGTCCCACACCAGATATTTGGGAAAGGACTTTCCCCACTTGTCTTCCCTTTGCCCATCACCTTGAGGGTCCTGCCCAGGGGAGAAGCAGCCCCAGCTTCTTAAGACACCATCACCAGCCCCTGGGATGATGGGATGTGCTCAGCACCCGTGCCAGCATGGCACCAACACCACCCGCTCTCCCCCAGCTCTCACAGGCAGGTGACCTCATCATCGAGGTGTACCTGGAGCAGAAGCTGCCCGACTGCTGTGTCACCCTGAAGGTGAGTCCCAAAGGAGGGCTGTGCCGGGGGGAGCGAGGAGGGGCTCAGGCTCTGGGTGCAGCCTGTCCCTGGGACCCATCCTGCCACCGCCCACGCAGCTCCCCTTGTGTCTGGCCCCAGGTGTCCCCCACGATGACGGCCGAGGAACTCACCAACCAGGTGCTGGAGATGCGCAACGTGGCAGCCAGCCTGGACATCTGGCTGACCTTCGAGGCACTGGAGAACGGGGAGCTGGGTGAGCCTGGTGGGATGGCACGGGGGGATACCCCTGGCATGGCTGGGCTGGTGGGAGGGAGGTGTGGGACAGGAGGAGGAGGCTTTGTGCTGGTGGCAGGGGGAATGCGGACTGGCATAGGGAATGGGGACAGAGAGATGAGAGTGTCTCTGCATCCCCAGAGAGGCCCCTGCACCCCAAGGAGAAGGTGCTGGAGCAAGCTTTGCAGTGGTGCAAGCTCCCGGAGCCCAGCGCCGCGTACCTGCTGGTGAGGAAGGTCCCCATTGGCGAGGGCAGCTGTCTGTTCACAGGTAAGGCAGTCACAAAAAGTCCCAGCCCCTGGGGGTGTCCCCAGAGAGGGACAGCTCTGCCTGAGCTTCCTCTTGCCCTGGCCACTGCTCTGCAGCCATCAGGGTCACATCCCCGAGACCCACAGTGGGATCCTCCTGCCCCTCCCAGCCCCCCTCACCCCCATCTCCTCACTCTGGGCAGGTGCCAAGCGTGAGAGCCCCAAGTGTGGGCTGCTGAAATGCCGTGAGGAGCCCCCCAAGCTGCTGGGGAACAAGTTCCAGGAGCGCTACTTCGTGATCCGGGACCGGAGGCTGCTGCTGCTCAAGGAGAAGAGGGTACCCAGGGCATGGGCCTGCACCCCCAGGGCGGGGGAGAGGCAGGGAGAGGGAGCCTGGGGACAGCGGTGGCATGGTGGTGGCTGTCCTCCTGGCAGGGAGGCTGGCACCAAGCTGGGCTGACCCATTGGATTTCCCTCCCCAGAGTTCCAAGCCAGAACGGGAGTGGCCCCTGGATGCAGCCAAGGTTTACATGGGCATTAAGAAGAAGCTGAAGCCACCAGCCCAGTAAGTGGGTCCTTCCCTGGCCATGGCACTGGGGCATGAATCCCTCAATCCCTGCACCTGGCACATGAACCCACAAGCAGCACACCAGGCTCCACCTGGACCCAAAGCTGTGACAAACCTGGGCCTATGGAACCACTGCCCACAGCCCTTGGGCTGTGTCTGAGCTTGGCACTGCTGCCCCACAGCCTGTCTCTTCCTTTCCCAGGTGGGGTTTCACACTGACCCTGGACAAGCAGCAGCTGTGAGTATCTGCCCCTGCCATCCTGGGGCTGGAGGGATGTCAAGTTCTATCCCCAGTGTTAGTGGGATTGGGACAGCCAGGGGCAGTGCTACAGGGCCCTGGGATCTGGCAGAGCTTGGGGTATGCCAGTGCCAGAGTGATGGGGCCACAAGCTCCCTGGCACAAGGAGGGAGCCAGGTTCCAGGGGTAATCCATCTCTCTACTACACACCCTTCCCACCTCCCATCCCCACCAGCACCCCTGGGACATGCTGGGTGCCCAACGAGCTCTCACCTTGCCCTGAAGCAGTGATTTGGGCGTGCAATGAGTTTCAGAGGTGCAGCTCCACGGGGTGCAGCTGTGCCTGACAACCCCAGGCTCACAAACAAGGTGACAAGGGCACAGGGGTCCCACTGGCCCTGCTCTCTGGCAACTTCTCTGCTGTCTCCTCTGCAGGTGCCTGGTGTGCTCGGGGCAGGCTGAGCTGTGGGACTGGACCACCAGCATCCTCAAGGCTCAGGTGGGTGTAGGGCCGGCTGTGCCACCCAGATGGGCACTGCTGGGATGGGGCTGGGCAGGGCTGGGATGGG